TAAATGAATTTTATTCTACTAATTAAAATTAAATCATATAAATAAACTTTTTTATATAATTTTTTTTCACGTTTAATTTTTTTATAAATTAAAATGTATAAGTTAATCATGACACCCATTAGTCCAAAAGGATTTTCTAAAAATTAAAGCTAATAATTACAAAAAATAATATAAAATATTTTTATTATCAATATTTTTATTAAAATTATGTTTATATATATGTATATATATATATATATATAATTAAGTTGTATACAAATTAAAAAATATTTTTAAAGATAATAGTTTTTAACATACATTTACATAAATCAAAATGATAAAAAAAAACCCTATACAAATATAAGATTATTTAAATACACACCATAATGAGTCAGCAGGTTACTACACCTATTACATCTCAATAATTAAGTAGCAAAAAATATAAATATAATCTAACTTATAATTATCATGCAACAGTTCTTGGATATATATGTAGCAGTATATATACACACACATATACAACAATCTAAATTGTAAAATATAAAAATCTTAAGTTATTGGTCAAACAATAACTATAAATATGCTATATTAGAATAATCTCTACCAAAAACAACATCATCACCAACATGACTCAATATATGATCGCCGTTCAACCTAATCTTGCACTGCTCCTATAATAATATGATCACCATAGTCAAATAATATATAAAAGTAAGGATAAACTTGTATGCAAAGAAAACAACATATAATAGAAGTTAAAAGCTAACTATATAAACAACTTCATCACATGAGCACAACTTCACATCTAAGCAACTTTGCCACACAACTTTCAGCTAAGTATTCAACAATGTATACAACTTTCAACAATATTTCTACTAGACAACACATTAACAAGTTATACAACTTAATAACATGTCAACATCACAACTTAACAACACAACATTGAGCAACATTTAATCTTTTCAACATTTCAACTTAATAATGCAACATTTTATAAACACATCTTTACAACACTACAACTTAACAACGCAATATCTTGATAACACAATAACACATTTTATAACTTATCAACATATATAACATAAAAACTTAAGGCTAAAAACCTATTTTGGTCCCTTATAATCTTTTTTTGTTTTAATTTAGTCCCTCATTAATTTTTGGTCTCAATTTGGTCTCAAACTAATTAATTGGTTTCAATTTAGTCCCAAATTAATTAATTGGTTTCAATGTGGGACTTTCCGTCCAAATTTCTTTAACGGTGTTAACTTTTGGTCACGTGGACGCCACGTAGATGCATACGTGGATGCCACGTGGATGAGAATTTTTTGAAAACACCTGGACCCAGAACGACCCGTTCTGAAACCGGAATGGACCGTTCTGGGTGCACTTTTGGTGTATTAAATAAACAAACAATTATGTAGTTTTAAAATATTATATATATATATATTAAAATTTTAAAATTATTAAATTTTTAATGAGAAAGACTAAAATTGCACAATTATGATATTTGAGGGATTAAAATTGTTCAATTAAAAATTGTGAGACTAAAATTACACTATAATCTTTTAAGGACTGAAATTACTCAATTAAAACCTTAGAGATCAAAATTGCATAATTATAATATCAAAAACACAATTAAGTAAATAATATTTTATTCACAGTTTTGGAACGTGGCATCCACATGGCCAAAAGTTAACTCCGTTTAAATAATTTGGACGGAAGTCCCACATTGAAACTAATTAATTAATTTGGGACTAAATTGAAACCAATTAATTAGTTTGGGACCAAATTGAGACAAAAAATTAATGAGGGACTAAATTGAAACAAAAAAAGATTATAAGGGACCAAAATAGGTTTTTAGCCAAAACTTAATAACACAACAACTTTATGTGTTATTACGCATTTAAACTAAAAGATCTCTTACAATACAAGTGAGCAGTCTTAGCAGCTTAACCCTACCAAACTAACAATGACACAATCTTTTTGGTTTGTTAGATCAACAAAAAACTTGGATACCAATCCATGATACAACATGATTTCTCAAATTTTTCACTTATACTAGGAAAGTTCAGTACTTGTTGTTAGGAATAATATAGCTTGAGTATGGGTCCACCATGGCAATGAGTTGCATTAACCAAGTCACATATAGGAATAGCCTACTAATTATCCTTGCAATACCATGTACCTTTCCAATAATCAGTTAAGAATTTTATTTCTCAACTTCATATCTTACTCAATAGGTCACACTTTACCTAACCACATACTATATATTAACTAAGTACTTAGATGAGACTCAACACTCCACTTCAACAAGCAACATACTCAACAAGGGTTTCACAACATTTTGGGCTCTTAAAACACCACAACAATACACACACAATGGGATATATATTTCAACTTTCAAAGCAATATCTTTCCTCTAATCTTAAGTTCACAACATATATAGCTTATCAACAGAGCTCAATAACATATGTTATGCATTTCGCGACACAGTTCAAGTCAACTCAACATATACAATACTTGGAACAATAATCCAATTCAACTCTAGACATCTATCACACTTTATTTAAATATTCTACAACATGATCTTTCATCATAAACAACACATTACAACATCATTCCATAATTATTCAACTAACATCTCATAATAGATAAAAGCATTGAGTAAAAAAGAGACATAAAAATGGGTCATCGCTGGGCGTGGATAGTCTCATTGGGCAAGCTGAGCTCTCTAGACCTCCTCACTAGGTGACATTACTCTCACTTAGTGAAAGGAATGCTTTGTAGCTTTCCTTGCCACGCGATCATAGCTCACTGCGTAAGTAGAACCCCCTATAGGTTCCCTTGTTGAGTGTGCTATGACTCGCTGGACAAGAATAAGGTTTTCACCTAATGATAAACAATAGAATCACCATCACTCAACTTAATATCATAGACATCGCTATCAACTTCACCATATCACCAACTAAATCATCATCTTAATGTTATACAACATATAATTATATCTATTTTTATAAAAAACATAAGATCCTTCATAGTCAACTTAAACAAGTCATCAACTTAACAACATATATATCAGTATGACAACTTACATATAAGTTATAGCTAATCCTATTAAGTTCATTCTTATCTCATATGAAAGATAAGAAGATTGTATACAACTCTTATGTTGACCTCCAATTTTAATTAAAATATCTACTATATTGAAAATCACAAAAGCTGCAACAACATAGCCTAAAGTTGACAACTTGACATTTTCTCACTAAAAATGTCATAACTTGAGTTCTAAACATTCTTTTTAGGTGATTCCAAAGTTATTGGAAAAATAACATCTAAAGCTACAACTTTGATGAGGACTGAAAAGCCTAATTTGACCATATACTACTCATTGTGCATGAATGTTGAGCAACCATACACTTCCAAATGAGCAAGAATGTGATGTTCCTCCAATGGAAATCACATTCTCTCAACAAAATCTAGTTACCCACATCAATTGCTCCTAAATCAAGGAAAGGAAGGAAGAAAAAGAGAAACCTTGTTGGCTATCACATCAAATCAATCTGGGGGAGAAAAAAGATCTTCCAACAAAATCAGATTGAAGATTAGACTCCATTGGCTTCAAAATACCTCTTTCTAAGATTCTAGAGTTATGAACTTATGAAATTCATTTCTTAGAATTCACCTTATGTACCTGAGTCCTCCTCAAGTCAATTATCACACACTTAAACTATATCTTATATAACTTAAGCCTAGAGTTATCTCAACTCTAACTCTCATCTCACATAGGACAAAAACAACAAAATAACATAAAATCATTATTTTTTAATTATATATATATATTTATATATATATATATATCATAAATATACATAATTAAGAAAAAGCATAGTATTACACAGACATACACACATATTCATATTAATTTATATTTTTTTACATATTTATATACAATTTTAAAAAGTTAAAAATATATTAAAATATAGGATAAGATTTATAGATTATAAATTCTACAGCCGTACATGTTATTGCATTAATTTGGTTCTTACAAAAGGACCAGGAGGAGTAATATATATATTAAATCTGTATATGTTTTTAACCTTTATAAAAATGAATGGACTTTGTTCAAGCTATTTTTAACTAGATTTTCAAGCTATTTTTTTTCTTTTCTAATTGGATCCTTAAAGCAAAAAAGTAAGTCCTTAAAGCTAATATAAAAGTTTAGTTTAATTGGTTAAAGAATGTGTGAATTTTTGTAAGCCATAGATACTTTATAATATATTTTTTTGAAAGCATACTTTTTAATAGTTTAAAAATTCAGTTATAATTTAGGAATTTATTTAAAAATTCCCAAATAATATAGAGATCTATTAAATAACTAAACCTTTATAAGTGAACTCTTTAACACATTTTTAATCATTTTTATTATTTGTCATTCTTAAAAAGAAATCATTTGTATTTTTTGTTGAATTTTATTTTAGTTTTACTGAAATGGAAAGGACAAAAAGTTTATGTATTGAAAAGTGCATCTAGATTTAAATATAAAAAAATCTTATAAATAATGAACCAAAAATATAAACGAACATTAATTTAACTTATTTTATTTAATAATATTATATAAAATATATTAGTCATTTAATTGAGATCTTATATTTAATTAAGATTTTTTTAGACGACAACTTAATTAAAGGAGATAGACTACCATTTGTATCAAGTAGTGTTATTGACATCAAATATTTTTTCAATCAGAATTATAATAGCATTATAGTTCAAACTAAAGATCTTATACATAGGATCCATCGTCATAATTAAACCAATCATAATGATTTGTTTGATATCGAGTTTCAATAAAAAAAAATGTTCTGTAAAACAAATAATGAATAATATATAGTATACAAATACATTTAATTAATTTTTAACTAAGTTATGATTAATTAACTTAGTTTATAATATTGTCTGGAGAGAGAATTGTTGGTTTTGCTATGAGGAAGGCATTTGCGAACATAATCCGGAAGCGGGACATTTCAAAGAAACGAACTAACTAACTAACTAAACACCCGCTATTCCAAATCTCACAATTCACACCAAAGCCAAACGAAGCCATAAGACCTTCATTTCATTTCATTCACATTTTGGAATTGGAATCGGAATCGTCTCTGCGAGTTGTTGCAGCCATCGCCATGGATCCCCACCCAGGAACGTTCCCCATTCTCTCCTACGTCATGTCCCGTCTCCCATCCTTCGGCCCCAGAACGCCCCCATCCGCGTCAACCTCAACCTCCACCGCCACCGCCACCTCTTCCCACTCCCATTTCGACATCGAACAGCCACACTCCTCCTCCGCCTCCGCCGCCGCCTCCCCTTCCGCCATCGTGGGCCAAATGCCCAATCTCGCCGACCCCGAACTCCTGGCCTCCATGACGCGCGCCATCTCGGACGTCTCCCAGGCCCGATCCGTGCTCAAGGTCATTGGGCCCCGGCCCACCCACGAGGACGTCGACGAGGCGAAGGCCAAGATGAGCGACCTGGACGCCCACCTCTCCCGCCAACTGGAGGAGATCGTGGGCCTCCCCAGGCCCCCCGAGATCGAGGAGCCCCGCTGGCGGGCCCACCTGGCCGAAAAAGAGAAGAGCTGCAGGGACTCCGTGGAGAAAGAGAAGCGCATCCTCAAGTCCCTCATTCACCTCGACCAGATGCACGACGAGTACGAGAAGCTCCTCAAGAACGCCGAAAAGCGATTGGTCAAGATGTACGAGGACGACGGCGACAACGCCAACCCCAACGACAACGACACCGAGGTCAAAGAACAGGTTGAGGGGATACTTCAGGAGGCCTACGGAAAAGGCCTCGAGCGTGTCGATCTTTCCGAGAAGCGCCTCAAGTACCTTCCTGAAGCATTTGGCCGCATTCCTACCTTGGTCGTGCTCCATGCTTCCACCAATCAACTTTCGGTAATTACTTACATTTACGCATGCTGCATGCTGCACTCCACCTCCATTTCCATTCATCTGTTTTAAATCATCATTCATCAGTTTCTTAGCTTATGTTATCTACCCTTTCTTGTTTATTTTGACGCTCGTATATATGTATATACCCGAGAATTCTTTGCTACGCAACAGGTGATTCCTGACTCCATAACTGGATTGCAAAATCTCGAGGACCTTAATCTCTCCAACAATGCTTTGGAGTCACTTCCAGATTCAATTGGCTTGTTGCAGAAGTTGAAATTCCTTAATGTCTCCGGCAACAAGCTCACTGCCCTTCCTGATTCCATTAGTCAATGCAAGTAAGTGCACCATTATTCATAGAAGAATGCCAATCACACCTTATTTATTATTGTCTCAAATTTATTACAAACTAAATATTTTATCTACATTTCTCTTCTAATTTAATGACAGAATCGGAGATAATACGTCCATCAGTATAACCAGAGTAGTATATAATTAGGAAGTATTTCTTACATTAGTTTTGTAAAATTAAGATAATTATATTTTTTTGACTTAAGTTGATTTTATAAAGTTAAATTCAAAATTCACTCTTTAAGAAGATTGAAGTCTATCATAATTATTATCAATTAGTGGAATGAATAAAATATAATATATAATTGGAGAAGTGAGAACCCTCACCATATAATCTAGTTTTATAAGGTTAAATTTTGTTCATATCTCACTTCTCAAGAGATAGGAAGTATCAAAATTTGTAATTTTCAACCAATGGAAAGTATTAACAAGAAAGTATCGGGAAAAAAATGTCTGTTTTCGGTGTTTACAAGTTGGGTTATAACTATAATTGATGGAACCATTTTTATATTAAATGATCAGGTCATTGGTGGAGTTAGATGCAAGCTTTAACAGCCTCACATATTTGCCAACAAACATTGGATATGAATTGCATAGTTTGCAGAAGCTCATGATTCATTTGAACAAGATTCGATCTCTTCCCTCGTCTGTTTGTGAGATGAAATCCTTGCGCTATCTGGATGCTCACTTTAATGAGCTGAATGGGCTTCCCATTGCAATTGGGAAATTGACTAATCTTGAAGTTATGAACCTGAGCAGCAACTTCAGTGACCTTAAGCAACTTCCTGAGACATTTGGTGATCTGATTAACCTCAAGGATTTGGACCTCAGCAACAACCAAATTCATGCACTTCCTGATACTTTTGGCCGCCTTGATAATTTGACCAAGCTGAATTTGGAGCAGAATCCTCTTGAAGTGCCACCAATGGAGATTGTGAACCAAGGGGTCCAAGCTGTGAAGAGTTTCATGGTCCAGAGGTTGATTGATATATTGGCAGAGGAAGAAAGAAAAAGCGCGAATGAATTGCAAGAACAAGAGAATGGCTGGTTAACAAGAAGCACCTCTTGGCTGAAGACTGTTTCTGAAAATGTATCTGAGATGATTATGTCCCCCAAAACTCCCAAAGAAGCTTTTCTGAACCAGCAGCTATGAGCCTATGAGGGGGTGATCCAGAACAACATTGGGGTCTTTCGTTGGCGCCTATTGTGAGATGAAGATTATAAAATAGATACTATCACCTGACAATTAGCTAGTCCCTTCTCAGCCTTCTCTGGTTGGATGCTAAGATCATTTTCTTTTTGCTATTAAGTATAACAGTTCCAGTTCTGTTTACAGGCAATAGGTACATGAGACAGAATTTATTACTTTCCGTAACATTTACTTTTCTCCAATCCTCCAGTTGTTTTATACAGTTTGATCCGAATAAACTCAATTGAAAAAGCTTTCAGTTTTTTTTTCTCCAATCCTCCACCATATCGACATTGCTTACCGGTATATCCCATCGTCATTTTTGTGTGCGCGCGTGCAACTGCTATGTCACATCATCAGGAAACAAAAAAAAGGTAAAATAATAATACAATATCCCACCTAAGCAGGTAATATAAATAAATAATGGAACACTATCCTTTGTGATGGAAAAACCCATGTAATAGGTATAGGATCTCAATTAATTCAGACAATGTGCCTGAAGGATCCACATATTAATTTAAGAAACCACGTAAAAATATCCCCCAGATCAGCAAAATTATTATAACAAGATTTTATCCCATTTTGTTTTTTAATGGTAAATTAGAAAGCGGTAAAAACCGTAAAAATTATGGTTAACCAGATTTATTTCACCTCAAAACCAAGAATAATGGTATATATATATATATATATATATATATATATATATATAT